ATCCAAAATGGAGATGCACTCTAGCCAGTTGTGCTGATGAACTGAATTACAGTTAAAGAATCTGTTACTGTTTAGACAGAAACTAATCTAAAATGGAAATTCACTCTAACCAGTTGTGCTAATTAACTCAGTTACAGTTAAAGAGTCTGTTATTGCCTAGACAGAAACTGATCTAAAATGAAGATTGACTCTAACCAGTTGTGCCGATTAGCTCAGCTACAGTTAAAGAATCCGTTACACATAAACAGAAACTGATCTAAAATGGAGATTCACTCTAAGCAGTTGTGCCGATTAACTCATCTACAGTTAAAGAATCTGTTACTGCCTAGACAGCAAAATTGTTACCATAAAAATTGATGTTAAGGTTTTTTTTAACAACAGAATTCAAATTAAGATGTATTTAAGAAAAACATTTATTTATTATATACAGTCACATTATGAATCAGTCTTACTGTCAATATATGCTGTGAACACTCATGGAACATGAGTAACCATTACATTCAGAGTGGTCATAGTGTGGATAAATTAGGTTCTAATTAAGTGACAGATTAACATAAGATGTGTTTATCCATTATTACTGATGTTTCCTACATGAATTACCACTGAAGTTGTTATTATCAATGACACTTCACACCAATCATTGACAGAAACTAGTGTTCAGTGGCACTTGTGCTGATTCTGTTAACTTTAAACTTTACAGTCAGCAACAAGGCTGAAACTGTTCCAACTCTTGGTCACTAAAACTCAGTTTCTGTTCCTAGTGGCCTTGGCTAGTGTACGTATCAATAAAATGTCAATAACCCTCTGTTTGTTCTCTTTAAATTGAAGGACAACTTGTCTGTATTTATCTAATGACACATCAGCTCTTGGAAGTGTGTATGGACCACATCAATATATTAGTTTTTGTTGCACAAACCACATCAGTTGTAGTGGTGTGGACCGTATTAAATGTTGTCTTGCTATTTCAAGTACCTTGAACTATAGATTTATCAGTTTTCAACCATCTTCATAAAATTACTTGGAAAACAATATTTACACAATTGACAAGTAAATATTTAACTTTTTTATTATTATTATACAGTTTCTTTACAGATACTAGGCCTTGACCATTTATCATAGAAAAATTATACACAATACAAGTTCTTTATTACATTTTGCATAGTAAATTGAGCTGAAATAACATTTAAGCTTTAAATTTATGAAAGTCCCAACCAGCAGGCTTAAGAAAATACCCCATCTGCTTTATTTGCAATATATATATATATATATCGTAAACATACTTTCAAATATGGTTTACTGAGAAAAGTTCCTATTCCAGATAGAGTGGTTACTTTGGAAAAAACATGGACCTTTATATACCTGACAACATATAATTCACTCATTCTTACATAATACGATCAAAGTGGAACCAAATATAGTTTTCATTCTCTGTACATCCTACCACAAGATGACCTGGGACTCTACAAGTTCACCGTTTACATCCTACCACAAGATGACCTGTGACTCTACAAGTACACCGTTTACATCCTACCACAAGATGACCTGGGACTCTACAAGTTCACTGTTTACATCCTACCACAAGATCACCTGTGACTCTACAAGTACACCGTTTACATCCTACCACAAGATCACCTGTGACTCTACAAGTTCACCATTTACATCCTACCACAAGATGACCTGCCACTCTACAAGTTCACCATTTACAACCTAACACAAGATGACCTGTGACTCTACAAGTTCACCATTTACATCCTACCACAAGATCACCTGTGACTCTACAAGTACACCATTTACATCCTACCACAAGATGACCTGCGACTCTACAAGTTCACCATTTACATCCTACCACAAGATGACCTGTGACTCTACAAGTTCACCATTTACAACCTAACACATGATGACCTGCGACTCTACAAGTTCACCATTTACATCCTACCACAAGATGACCTGTGACTCTACAAGTTCACCGTTTACATCCTACCACAAGATGACCTGCAACTCTACAAGTACACTGTTTACATCCTACCACAAGATCACCTGTGACTCTACAAGTACATCATTTACATCCTACCACAAGATGACCTGTGACTCTACAAGTACACCGTTTACATCCTACCACAAGATGACCTGTGACTCTACAAGTACACCGTTTACATCCTACCACAAGATGACCTGTGACTCTACAAGTACACTGTTTACATCCTACCACAAGATGACCTGTGACTCTACAAGTACACCGTTTACATCCTACCACAAGAATACCTGCGACATAAATCTAGGTGACAAAGTAATAAATTGGACTACTATATATCAGCTACTCATATTATAGTACTTCTAGAATAGTTACAAAATGTTTACATTTAACATACATAAAACCTTTTGAAAAGTTGATCCTAAACAGATGAGTGTCAGTAAAAGTATCAGTAATGCCTGAAGTTCACAATCAAGGAATTCTTTTTAAACTAAAAGTTTACATGCCACAAAACATAGCAAACTGTAATGTGTTATCTTACAATATTTTATCACTTCCCACAGACTCGCTATTATAACCTATGTGACTGTTTTATGATCTTACATGAAGTGATACAGACAGTGCAGTCCACTACTAAAATAACATAATAAAAAAAATTATGAATAGAGTTAATATTATTATATAAACATAAAAGATACATTATTTCTCCTGTTAACATTAGTTCTGTTGTTTTTATCACTTGCCACTTCACTGACAATAATTCAAACGATGTAAATTACATACATTTGGTAATAAGAATAAATCAGCATCTTAACCTTACAAGAATAATTCAGAGTTTGAAATAACAGTTCACACATAAAAATTATCAAACATCAAAAGTTTAAGAATTTAAGTTTTTGATTATTAAATTTACATAAAAAAAACAAAATTGTGTAATGATTTATTTATAATTAAAATGTTTATTAAAATTATGTTAAATCCCTTAAGATTCCAGCTGTCTAGTATCAGATTTAATGGATATCTTAAGTTTTTGTGTGGTGAATACAAACGTGATAATATAGTGTGAATAAAAGACAATATCTTTTTCATGGATATCAAATTACCAACCAGAAAATGGTTTCTTTTGTACTATACTTAAGTCAGAAAAGCTGTTATGTAAAAGTGTGAAATTAATAATACACACAACCAGACATTCAGTCAAAACATGAAACTGTAGCATCAATGTCATATGACACACATGTACAGTACACATAACCACACATTCAATCAAAACATGCAACCAGGGGATGGCATTTTTTGTCAAAAAATAATTAAAGGAGAGTGCCAATTCAGGGAAGTTCAGCCAGTGGCTGAACTGCCTGTTCAGTCATTGGAGGTTGCCCGCCATTTTGAAGGTTTTGAACAGTGGTGTGAAGTCTGGGAAAAATTCCCAAATTTTCGAAATTTTCTCAATATTTTTTAAGAAATGAATATTTGGGAATTTTCTAACGAAAAGCATATAAAATTGGTAATTTTCTAGAAAACAGAAATCCTGAGTGTATAGTTGTATTTATACTGGTGTTGATCCACACTGACTCTGTCGTTTTTAATTAATAAAACAAGTTAACAAATTATGTATATAGATGCAACCGCATTCATAAAATAGAATAGTTTTACATTTTTAAACGTTCTGCGATGTTAGAACATTTTCAAAAAGTTCCAAATTTTCTGTTTGTGCCCTATTATACAATATACACGTGTTTATTATTTTTCATGAAGTTTTAAGGACCAAAATAAACGATTTTTATATTGGATAATTAATTATTAGTTAGTTTTACATTTGTAAATATTTATATAAATTATATTTTAGTAATGCACACAATTTAATGCACTTTTTTTTTCTTAATTTACTCTGCTTTTGGTATTATTGGAAATTTTTCCATCTCTGGGAATAGTTGCCCCCCCCCCCACTTTCGCATCACTGGTATTGAAGAGTCTAGTTAACAGTTTATGTCAAGCTCCCAACATGCTCCATCTATTTAGGCCACTCAACATTACAGTAAGCCATTGAAGTATGATTAGTAAATAAAAATTATTTATTTCCTGGGTTGCAGTTATATCTGGCCGTTGTTACCAAAGTAAAAGCAGATAATTTTAGAAGATTTTAAGGTTTTTACAATTGCTTTTATCCTTGTAAGCAATAAATATGATTGTGTTCCAGACACTAGCAGAGTATTTTACTCAAAACCCATTGAATGAACCCCTGTTTATTTACTGGGTTTTGATAAAAAATGTGTTTAGTATTTAAAATGCCCTAGTGCATCTAAATGCACCAACTTTCTAGCATACAAATTATGTGTTATTTACTGATGTGATTTTTCTCAAAAATGGCTCTACCGATTTTGATTAAAATCAAGCAATGCGTAGATATTCAGATCCTTAATGAAACTGCATAGCCCATTTTCCCCTAAAAATAATTGTATGCCACCTACTTTCATTATAAACCTGTGTATTTCTATAAGTATTGGGTGAATTATATTCATGTTTTATATTTTAAATCAGCAACAGTATTTAATTAATCTCTAAATATGAAAAATGTGTTCTTTCTGGTAGTTCTTCTGTCGTTATAACACAATAACCCAGTGTCTGTGTATTTTTGTTCATGTTTTGCCTACACTAGAGATTTCGACCCTATTACAAAACTTTCTCTTACTATTGCTGCAAGAAAGTAAAACTAAAATGCCTATTTTTTTTACTGCGTTTTTTTCACTTCTCTTCAGATGTCTGACACTTTGGGGAAACGCCGGAAGCTTTCTGGAGCTCAGTACAGAAAGTAAAGAACGAAGAATAATTAAGGAAAGAATCTTCATCCATAGTTAAGTTTTTCCAAGCAGATTCAGCTCCTTCAATGTCTGCTCAAAGAGTCCTGCAGGGCCAAACAGAAGATGAATCTTATTGTGCATATGATGCTTTATCAACTTCGGATGCTCACCAACCTGAAAATTCTTCTCCAGAGGACCCAGTAGAGATTCAAGCCAACAATGGGATATTTTCTGCAGTCAAAGAGGCAGGTTCGTCAACTGAAAAAAATTGGAGGAAACCTCCTGAAGGGGTTTTGCCAACAGATACTACAACTTCCGATGCTTCTAGAGAAGTTAGTGGTGTGCTCACTATGACCGAATTGTGTGATCCAGCGAAATGGCCCGATACATTAAGTGAAAAAATGAGGACATGTTTGATTGAAACAGGGCCTGTTTCAAAGAGTTCCGCAATATGATTTATCCAAAAGACAATTCGGGCAAAAGTTTTTCAGACACAAACTACCGCAGGAAGAGGTAATTCCTAGGGATTAGCTTGTATATTCTGCCTCCAAGAATTGCGTTTTTTGTTTTCCCTGCAAAGTTTTCACAAAAGGTAACTGTTTTTTGGCACATGAAGGGTTTTCTGACTGGCAGCATTTATCTAAACATTTATGTAATCATGAAAAAAAGTCACCATCATATTGAATCTGTTTGTAAGTCTATAGATTTGAAGAGAAGTTTAACCAAAGGGCAGACTGTTGATGCTCACATGGAACAACTGATAAACCAAGAAAAGATGCGTTGGCAGGAGGTTCTTTCGAGAATAGTGCAAAGTGTAAAATTTTTTATCACAAAAAATTGGGCTTTCAGAAGTAACAGCGATAAGCTTTTTAAAAAAAATAATGGCAATTTTTTAAAATTAATCAAAATTCTGGCCCAGTTCGATCCTTTTATTGCTGAATACGTCCAAAGATTTCGAAGAGACGAAAAAAATAGTCCACATTACTTGGGGCACCAAATTCAAAATGTGAGATTAAATCTGTCATTATAAAAGTAATAGAAGGCAGTAAGTATTATTCATTGATTTTAGACTGCACACCGGACTCCAATCATCAGGACAAATAACAGTGGTCGTTAGATTTGTTATGTTCAATAATGTAAAAAATAAAGTCGAGATAAAAGAGCATTTTCTGGGCATTTGTAACATTCTCGATACAACGGGTGTTGGCCTGACTACTCTTATCACTGATTATTTAGTGGACAACAATTTAAAAATTGAAAATATGCACGGGCAGGATTATGAAAATGGCACTAATATGAGAGGGAAAAATAATGGTTTGCAGGCCAATATTCTAAACAAACATTCTCGAACTTTTTATGTTCCTTGCTCTGCTCACACTCTCAATTTGGTAGTTAATGATGCCACAAAAGTAAACTATGAGATAGTTGATTTATTTTCTGTAATTCAGTGTCTGTTCACATATGTCTCTTCCTCGACTAAGAGGTAGGAACATTTAACCAATAATGTGTCTCAGTTAACCCTGAAAGCAGTTTCAAATACTCAATGGAAAGTCTAGTTGAAGCAGTAAACCTTTACGATTCTGTTTATCCAAAGTTTGTGACATAATCGATGACAAAAAAGTGAACTACCTTCCAAGCATGAGGCCAAGTGTTAGTTGGAGAAATTGGAATCTTTTAAGTTTATATGTTTCATCATTATATGGTATGAAGTGTTATCAAGAGTAAATGTTGTTTCCAAAATCATGCAAAATCCAAACACAGATTTATCATCATGCATTGAACATTTAGACCTCCTTAAAAAGTCTCACAGACTATCAAAATGAATTTGAAGAAATGATACATACTGCATGTGAAATTTAAATCATATGATGTAGAGCCACACTTTCCTTCTGAACAGTTTCACAGGAGAAAAAAGAAAAGAATGTTTGACTACGAACACGAAGATGATACTACGACCGACACTAAAGATAATTTCCGCATAGATTTTTTTAATGTTATCATTGACACAGCTGTTAGATCAATCGAAGAAATATTTCACTTGCTTCAAAATCACAATGAAGCATTCAGTTTTTTGTATGATTTTAAGAAAACGACAGAACTGAGTAAATTGGAGCTTTTGAAACATTTAAAACTATCTGACAAAACTGATGAAAACTGCCCAAAGGACATAAGAGCTATGGAACTTAGTATCATTGCGAGTTTTTTTTTAAAATGGAAACTTCACCGAAAGATGTCTTGCAGTACATTTACGAGAACATTTCCAAACCTTACGGATTTTATTAACGCTCCCCGTGACAGTTGCTAGTGGAGAGAGGTCGTTCTCAAAATTAAAACTAATCAAAAATTTTAGATCATCAATGAGACAACAAACACTTCTAATTTGGCTCTAATATCCATTGAAAGCAAAATTTGCAAGAAAATTGATTTGTAAAATATTTTAGCAAATTGTGCTGGTTTGAAAGCTAGAAAGGTGCAATTCTTTTAGGTTATCTGTGGATGATAAGATAACATACTTTTGATATTGTAGAAAATAAATGTTATTGCTTTAAGAAAGTGCAGTCTTTTAATGAAACCTTTCCATCATTTAAATCGTTGTATGCAATACAAATACCATGATTTCTCACCACAAGGATTGCCTGTGCTTGTAAGGCTTTTCTAAGACACAGAACCATTGCCATTGTTCATAAACATTGAACTTCCCGGAGGATTTGACAAAAAACCTTAATGGAAAAAACGACCCTAGTAACAGAAACCTCCTCATTCATTCGTATCTACATTTGAAGAAGGGGAGGTTGGGAGTGGCAAATTTTTTTTTCACCGGGGCAGCAAACGATCTACCGCTGGCCCTGGATGAATAGTAGCATCAATGTCATATGACACGCATTCAGTCAGAACATGAAACAGTAGCATCAATGTCATATGACACGCATTCAGTCAGAACATGAAACAGTAGCATCAATGTCATATGACACGCATTCAGTCAGAACATGAAACAGTAGCATCAATGTCATATGACACGCATTCAGTCAGAATATGAAACAGTAGCATCAATGTCATATGACACGCATTCAGTCAGAACAATAAACTGTAGCATCAATGTCATATGACACGCATTCAGTCAGAACATGAAACAGTATCACCAATGTCATGACACGCATTCAGTCAGAACATGAAACAGTATCACTAATGTCATATGACACGTATTCAGTCAGAACATGAAACAGTATCACTAATGTCATATGACACGCATTCAGTCAGAACATGAAACATCAGCATCAATGTCATATGACACGCATTCAGCAGAACATGAAACAGTATCACCAATGTCATATGACAGGCATTCAGTCAGAACATGAAACAGTATCACCAATGTCATATGACACGCATTCAGTCAGAACATGAAACAGTAGCATCAATGTCATATGACACGCATTCAGTCAGAACATGAAACAGTATCACCAATGTCATATGCCAAGCATGTACAGTACACATGACCACACACATTCAGTCAAAACATGAAACAGTATCACCAATGTCATATGACACACATGTACAGAACATATTCTATAAACACACATAGATTCAAAACTCAAAATGGTATCATCAATGTCATATGACAAACATGTATAGAGAAGCAAGCAGTCATATGGTTTCTTTAGTTCAATGATTTAAGTTGTCTGTAATGAAAACACTGTACCCTTTTAAAAACTATTCAAGTATTTTTTTAGGTTAATAGAATTTCACAGATCTATAAGATTAAAACATCAGTGCTTTTGCTTTTGTTTGTGTTCTTCAAAGAATCTGTATAGCTCAAGTATTAATAGCAGTAAACAAAGTTTAAAAATTCCCAATGTATATGGGCAATAAGAACTCGTTTGTTGTACATCTTTTTAAATATCCTCAATATTTTGCCCTTAATTTGCAATAATAACAAACTTAACCCATTTAATGAAAAGTTACTGACTGCTGTACTTCAATATATATCTAACAGGATGTTACACATTCAGTTCAGTCACACAGTCCTGTTAAAATAAAACCTATTTATCTTCAAGCATAATTCACAAAAGTTTATAACTGGACAAGTGAAGTTAGACCGAGTTTATATTTAGAATTAAATGTTTAAGTATTTCTGTAGTAAGAAAACTGCTAAATGATTTGGAAACTGGTTTTCATAATGAACCACTAACTATAGTTTCTTTACTAGAAAGAAATAAAATCATATTTAAAATACTGCAAGCAAAATTACAAACTTTGAGCTTGAACAACAATTTAAAAGCATTTTGTAAACATTTTCAACTGTTTACTTCTATAACCAGCATATATAGAATAAACATCAACTATCAATTGCTATGTGAAAGGTGGACAGTACGTAATGAAAGTACTTGACAAATGAGTGTACTGTTTGAATTTTGTACTCTTAATAGAAGTATCCAGGGCTGTAGGAAGCGGTAAGGACAGTCAGGCCATGGTCCAACCAATTTTTCATGACATGTACAGCTACAGCTTCTGTATTAAAACTTGCTTCTTTTAATTCAGTACATTATGTTGTGTGTGTGTGTGTGTGTGCAGTATTTGTAGTTAAAATGGCTCAAGATTCAATCTCATAGTATTAGGTTTTCAAAAGTTTTTTTATGGGGGCATACCCCCAGACACAGTGTCAAATTGTTTAGCTGTGGTAATGGCCTGACCACTACCCCCAGACACAGTGTCAAATTGTTTAGTTGTGGTAATGGCCTGACCACTACCCCCAGACACAGTGTCAAATTGTTTAGCTGTGGTAATGGCCTGACCACTACCCCCAGACACAGTGTCAAATTGTTTAGCTGTGGTAATGGCCTGACCACTACCCCCAGACACAGTGTCAAATTGTTTAGTTGTGGTAATGGCCTGACCACTACCCCCAGACACAAATTGTTTAGCTGTGGTAATGGCCTGACCACTACCCCCAGACACAGTGTCAAATTGTTTAGTTGTGGTAATGGCCTGACCACTCAAAAATTGCTTCCTACGGCAATGGTGACAGACAAGTTACTGTTAAAACTGGACGAAGATTCGGTTAAGCTTCACCAAGGTAAACATTGGATGGTTAAACCTGATGACCGACCAACTACAAGTAGCTTCTCCGTTAACTTGTGCCAACAGATGACATATCTGTCCCTCCGACTGGAAATAAATAATATTTTATCAAGCATTTATATCTATAAGTGGAAGAGGTGTACATACACACCGCATAGATAAAAAGTAGAAAAACCAAATGTCCAACAAGTAAAATATGATATTTTTAATAAGCAGTTTAGTATGTACTTCTCTTCCATATAAATACTGTTTCGTTAATGATTGATCCAAGATAAAAATGCATGTCTATTTACATATTTTTATGTTCTTAATCAATTCTGAAGAAAAAAACTTGAAAATGTCAAGATTTTAACATACTGTGAATAAGTACAATCTTAATAGATAGTTAACTGTTGAGACTTTTGTTCAATGGTTAAACTGTTAGATTACTGACAAGTTGATAAATAAGATGCTTGAGAAATGATCTGGTAATCTGTACAGACTTTGTTTATCAGCAGAGTCACTGATGACATTTACAAATGTGTTTAAAAAAAAGATTTTGTTAATTTATACAAACCTTTTCTTTCCAAGTCCTTCATTTCAAGGATGTCACTTTTCAATTTCAATTTTAAAATTTTTCGACAAAGGTCATCCCTTTAAAGAACAAATTACAGCAAAAACTTGAATGTTGTTTGATTTAGAAAGGAATAAAACATAAAAAAAATTACATCAACAACTACTTCCTCATATCTCTTCAATTTAAATAAAATAATTTAAATAAAATTAAAACTCATTTTTATCAAAATAATTTGCATTTTAGCTCACCTGCTCAAATACAATAATGAAGACAGAGAACCTACACAATATAATACCAAACGTTTTATAAAACTGTTAAAAACTTTTGTTAAGCAAAATACTTTGCAATTGTGAAAGGGTTAACCTGGTGCACGAGTGTCCCTACTCGTGTTAATTTGGTACAAATCAAACATGGAGAACTAGTGTCCTTAATATCATGGTAATCTGATACAAATTGAACATGGAGAACTAGTGTCCATACTCATGGTAATCTGGTACAAATCAAATGTGGAGAACAAGTGTCCCTAATATCATGGTAATCTGGGACAAATCAAACATGGAGAACGAGTGTTCCTAATATCATGGTAATTTGGAACAAATCAAACATGAAAAATGGGTGTCCCTAATATTGTGGTAATTTGGCACAAATCAAACATGGAGAACGAGTGTCCCTAATATCGTGGTAATTTGGTACAAATCAAACATGGAGAACAAGTGTCCCTAATATCATGGTAATTTGGTACAGATCAAACCTGAAGAATGGGT